TTTAAATATTTTTTCGCTTACTTTCATATCGAGTCTCTCTCTCTCTCTCTCTCTCTCTCATAAAAATCCAAAGAAATTAATCAGAGAGAGAGAGAGAGAGAGAGAGAGAGAGACTTATATAAAAAAGCTAAAATAAGTACAGAATTTATGGACAAAAACTAGAGTAAATTATAAATGTGAAATCTTTTTGTATTTTCATAAAAATTAAATAACAGTTTGTCGTGTTTATATTTATTTTTCGAAAAAATAAGATATTAATAAACTAACATAAACTGTAGTACACTCTATGCTAGTAAATTATCCAGTATATAAATATACACACATGGAGTGTATGTTTAATATTAGTAAAACTCGTTATAATAAACAAAACTCTCGCAAACATACACACGTTATGTAATACTTATAAATATATTTATTTATAATGTTGAGTAAAATTATATGAATTAAACACTCAAAATAGATATGCATTTTATATACATGTATGTTATTTTGCATTCAAATATTTATTTTTCTCACTCTATTACGAGTCCCTCCGATAATAACTATTAGATTCAATACAATTTAATATACGATTCCGTGTTTAACACCCATTACTTTGTAAGCAAAATAATATTTATTCAATACTTGAATTACTTTTTTCTGAACACTTAAATTAGTTCGCAAATAATTATTTCACATTTATTGCCAATACTGTATTGATAATCATAATAATTATGTGTCTCTATCTATTTATATCATACGATATCGTGTTTATAATACATACTAATATAATTCATATTCAAAACGAGTTGTTAGGTATTTAATTGATGACTATTAATAAGGCTATAGATATTTGAAAAACGGATTTGAATAGTAAAATAGCATTTTAAATATAATAATAAACTGCATAAATCCAATCATATAAAAATACCCCTAACCCTAAAACTACTACCCCCGGTAATACTAACATACACCACAAACATATCTGTACAATATATTCACACCAAACAAATATATAGATATGTCTCATAAATGAACATACAAGTACATAGAAAATATATTGATTTAAAATAAATATAAATACATGCTAGCTATGTACAGTACAGTATAAATAAAAAAGTTCCTACACCATGTATGCATTAGCTAAACACATAGAGTCTCATAAGTTATTCAGTGTCTAAATATTGATATTTCATAATACAGATATTAATATTATATGAAAAACACAAGTCTATGCCTTTTTTAATGGTGACATTTGTTTATATAATTAATGGCAAAATATTTACCAGAAGTGTCCCAAATAGTGGATGAAAAGTGATGGCCGCCCACTTCAAAGCCAACCGTGTATTTCTCGAAACCGGTCGGTATATACATCTGGTTTTGATCCATAAGGGGAAAGGCGATGGGAAAGGGATGAGAGAGAGATTGAAAAAATATATTTGATTAGTTAAACAGATATATTATAGATATTTGTGTTGCATGCTAGCTATGTTATATAATATATTTTTGGTAG